ATTTTTTAAATTGCGAATCAATGTAATTTTTTATAAATTATAGAAAATTTGTTTTAAAAATCATATTAATCCACTTTTAAAATTTTTTAAATTAATACTTAATTAATTATGTGTTAATTTATGCTTCGTTTACATGCTTGAAGGATTATTTCCCAAACTGGTAATTCTTACTTACCTTAGTAGTTAAATACATGACTTTATTCGTATTTAAATATATTACTTTATTCGGTTGAGTTTGACTACTATGTTTTTATTAGAAATAACGTCATTGTATAAAAAATATAGTATTGTAAATGTACATATAAAGAAAAACTTATGCCCAAATATTTTTTTATAATTTCAAATAAATATTTTAAGAATTATTGGTGGTCGAAATTTTAAAAGTTTCACCATCAATTAATCATACACTTTAAGTAGGAGGGAGTAATATTTTTTCATTGCTTAGTTTTCTTTGCCGAGTTGGCTGAAAATAATCGACTAGTTTTTGCTATATATAAAGGAGAGGAGAGCAACTTGCGAGCCTTTTTTTTCTCTTCTGAATAGCAGAATGATTTTACAATCACTATTCAACGTACGTACGTTATAGACAAACAAATTAACTGTTATAAAGTTAAAGGAAATATGTTTTAAATACATTCATATATAATTTAATTTAAAAAAAAACTAGATAAAGGTCCGTGCGTTGCAAAGAATATTAAAAGAGATAAAATAAAAAATAATTAGAAGTTTTTAGCATAGTTAGTTCATTAAGCATATCATATGATGCCATATCCAAAGAAAAACATTTACGTGTAAGGACCATATGATTTCGCATGTTATTTTGTGGCGTTAGAGACGGCATCATTTAAAATTTAAAGTAGTATAGAAAATCGCCCCATGAATTTATGGAGTATATATAGGAGCTTGAAAGTGTGTCGGAAGTCGGATCTATCAATTCTTCCTTCCAAATTAGAACAGACCCGTACGTATAAAACAACATTGTTGTTAGTTGGCACCCCCCGTTAGAACACAAAACACCAAATAAGTTCGTTCGTCAATTTACATGCCTGAATTTCAGAGGTTGTTGACACGAGCGAACGTAAGTAACACGCACAAAAGACTTTAATTAGCGCATGACTTCGAACACGCACGTGCGGTCTCGATCACAACTCGCACGGCCCCACGTGCATGCACACATATAGGGTGTATTTAGTTGGGGAAAAAGAAATTTTTGGGTGTCACATCGAACGTTAATTTCAGAACTAATTTTAGAATGAAAAAACTAATTTCAGAACTCGCTTGGAAACCGCGAGACGAATCTTTTGAGACTAATTAAGCCGTCATTAGCACATGTGGGTTACTGTAGCACTTATGGCTAATCATGGACTAATTAGGCTTGAAAGATTCATCTTGCGATTTCCTCCATAACTATGCAATTAGTTTTTCTTTTTATCTATATTTAATGCTTTATACATGTGTCCAAATATTCAATGTGATGTTTTTGGAAAAAAAATTTGGAACTAAACGGGCCCATAGTCTCGCGCGCGCGCACACACGAACACACTTAGTACACGAAGTAGTAGCTTGTATGCTTACGCCGACTAAGCTGCTGATGTCATAATTAGGTTTGCAAATGGCAATGACGTCAGGATGACATGTCACATGTCGCTTGTGGGCATATGCATGCGAGTGTGGGCGGAATATAATGCTTGTCCAACTAGAGCCCTTCCAGAAGGCTACAATTTCAGGACTAATTCTATAAAAAATGATGAAAGAAATTACTAATATATTTAGGGTTTGTTTAGATTGATGCCATTTTAAACTATACCATTTTAATAGAGTTGTTAAATATATGCATCCATTTAGTTTCTTGCCAAACTTTGGTAAATACATAAGAAATCTTATCAAACTTTTGACAATGCCAAAATTTGATAAGGTTTATTTTGGCTACAATCTGAACAGCCTCTTGGTGTGAAATTTATGTGAAATTTCGGTGTGCTGTTAAGGGTGTAGTAGTGGTTGTTAAGTTAGTAGAGGAGCTTTCTACCTGGATAAGTACTGCTCCCTCCGTTTCGAAATGTTTGACGCCGTTGACTTTTTAGCACATGTTTGACCATTCGTCTTATTAAAAAAATTTAAGTTATTATTAATTCTTTTCCTATCATTTTATTCAGTGTTAAATATATTTTTATGTAGGCATATAATTTTACATGTTTCACGAAAGTTTTTGAATAAGACGAACGGTTAAATATATGCTAAAAAGTCAACGGTGTCAAACATTTCGAAACGGAGGGAGTATGTCGGGTCCTAATCGTGTGGGATATGTATGATAGAAGGCCGTTGAAAAATGATCGATAAAAAATTAAGAACTAATTTATAGGTAAAACTTTTGTATTTACTCATGATTTAAAATCCAATAGTAGTAGCTTTTAAATTTTAAATTTTGGTTGTGCAGGCTGATAAAATATCAAGAAAACGACGAGGGACGTTTTTTTGCACATGATGGGTGTAGACAAAAAATTGTGAAGCGGAGATAATAACTACAGAAAATTCGAGATTTTAGCATTATTATTGATTTATTGTGTGGCTCAAATGGGAGATTAGACCGGAGAAACAATGCATGCCATGGTCAAGATTGAGCAGAGTCCATGGTCTATATGCATTTGTTTTTTGAACTGTGGTCTATGCATATATACATCCAAAGACTACTAAACTTGTGTTACACGGTTTTGAACTTGGACAAGTATATACAAGCATGCTAATAGCCAGCTAGTGCTTCTAGTGTCCAAGACACAGAGTTTCGTCACCGTGGAGTTTAATTAGGTCTAAATTTAGGTCTTCATGGAACATTCCGTTAAAGGTGCCTTCTTTAGACCACCTTGGTTAAACTAATTTTACAAATTATTACAATGGCTAAACTGATTAATCTAATGTTATATATTTTATCTCTTTGAGAAAACTAAAATTGGACCGCATTGCAAGCTAACTAGACGTTTTTTTTTTGCAAGCTTTCTCTATTAATTCAAAATATGTAGGTCAGTGGCGGATCGAGAAAATCGATTTATTGATGTCATAATATGTCTATTGGTGTTATAGTATGCTAATTATATTTAGATCATGATGTTATATTATATGGATAAGCAGTTTCGCTATAGGTTTTACCGAAATTTGTCGGTGTCGCCTGACACTAGATCCGTCCCTAATGTAGGTCTCAAAGCATTCTCCGCTTTTCGTTTTTTTCCCTAAAAAGAACTTATTTTGTACTGTACGTGGTTTCTTTGCACTTAATTTTAATTCTTTTGTTCATGTTCTATTTTCCAATAATCGCACCCCTAAATGTCCATTTTTCTCTTTGATTTGATGATGACTAAAATGTCTTCACGTACGACTTCTACTCTCGTCTTTGATCCATAGCTAGTACACAAAGGGGACAAGAAGAAGTTGAATAATCCCTTTTTGATAAGATGGGTGAAAAGTTAAGCTGACGTTGTTGGGTTAGGCGTGACAGATAAATGCCAAACAGAGCCGCTCATTTCGTAAAGATATACTACTTGACTTGAAATCACAAGTACACACCAAGGACAAAGCTAGATGGTTAGTGAGATCAGCAGTCGAGAGAAAAGACAACTTCATAAGTGATATTGGAAGATAAGTAGTTTGAAATCTGAACCTCTGAACATGGCATGAAACTTCAGAACAGTTTCGTGTTGTCTTCAAGCTTGCAAAGACTATTCAAAGTTTTCTTAAATGAGAAAAATATATTCTGGCCTTCTGGGGTTCATGAGATCGAACGGTAGGCACGGCACAGGTGTGTATCATCATGCGAAGATGATTTGATTATTTGATTGTTAATCACGCTTACCAAGTGTTCCTGCCATTCAGATTCTGTTGGAAAAAGCAGAACTACTTCTCACAACTTTCTGTTCTGAACATCAGAACATGGACAACTCATGCTAGAGAACATTTGATGGAGTTGCAGGGGCTGGAGCTTTCAGTTGAACTTGTCTCTATAAAATGGCAGTTGAATGGGGCTGAAATATTGCAACTGAAACAGATGATTTTGCTGTGAAGGTAAAGGAGTTTAGGAAACTGAATTTCATCTTGTCAGTGACAGTTTAAGGAGTTCAGTTTGCTCCAACATCTTACCTTTGGAGCCTCAACCGATAGTGGCTGCAAATATGTGGAGATTTAGGCCGCGTTCTAAACTGGGTTTCAGCTGTACTAATTCATCGTTTAAAGTGAGCACCCTTTCCAAACTGATAAACAATATGTTTTGTGGTAAAACTTTATATAGATAAGTTTCTCTAAAAAATCAAATGAATCCATTTTTAAAGTTTACAATAGATAATACTTCCTCCGTTTCAGGTTATAAGACTTTCTAAACATCTATATAAATGTGGACAATGCTAGAAAGTCTTATAATCTGAAACGGAGGGAGTACTTAATTAATGCTAATGGCTTATATTATTTTTTCTGCGGCTAACTAGCTATCCTAACCGCTATATAGAGCGCACCCTTACTTGGCTAGACATCGCATCCAAAATCTTTGGCAGAACGAGAAAAGATTTGGTTCTCTGTAGTATCTCATGTTCACTTGCCAAACAAGGATAGTGCAGAGCAGTGATTTTTAACTTCTGTTCTTCTAACTTTCTCTGAAGAACCTTGCTTGGAAGCTGAATGTGTAAGTAGGATGGGACCAAATCTTCAGCAGTTAATAAGTTTCAGTTAAGCAATTGATTACTAGTTGTGAAATCTTGAGGACACTCTTGCCAATAGGTAGAATGTTAGCTTGGAATTGGATGGAGCAACGCTTCACTGATGAAACCTGGTTCTCCTCATGCAATTCTCAGCATTCAGTAGTAATCATCAATCAAGCTGCTAAACAGAATAGCCATGGCAGTTACTACCTCAGTCCTAAAATATATAAAAATCTATAATCAAATGAGACATTTTCTAGTATCAGATTCGTATTACTAAAAAAAATATTCCATCCGATACTAAGTTCTTATATATTTTGGAACGGAGAGAGTAAGTCGGAATGCATCAAACGGATCCCAATGAAATTGATCCGAATCTACGAGAGCGCAAGCGAATATTACTACAGAATATCAGGGGTTACATGCAAAAAGTTCTTCTTCCCATTCCCCTGAAACTGAAAAAGATTTGGCACGAATCGAACCCTCCAATCCATTGCTTGCCCTTTTTTGTGTCCTCCAGCTTCTAGAAACTTCTAGAACCCAAGTAAGTCCAAGCCGCCGCCGCCGCCGCCTACAGTTGCTTGCAAGCCGCATTGGCCCAGGTAACACGCCCGCGATGTGCTGGTCATTCTGGTGTTGATAGGAATTCACAGTTTTGATCTCTCTGCTCCATTCTGTAGCCTCCAGGTTTGGCGCTCACCACCTGTTCGACGAAATGCGGCAAGAGGGAGCAGATGTGCGCGGCAGCCACAAGATCAAGAAGACGACTGCTGATGTGGAAGGCGGGGGTGAATGGATCAACGCCCTCCCGGAAGAGGTCCTGCAGCACGTGATGTCGTTCCTGCCGGCGAAGCAGGCCGTCCGGACCTGCGTCCTCGCCCGGCGCTGGCGCCACCTGTGGAAATCCATGCCTGCTCTGCGTTCCATCCATGGTATCTGAACAAGCACGATGTCAGGAACCTGAACAGGTTTATGAATTGTTTGATTCGCTACCGGGACCGCAGAATGCCACTAGATATGTGCGAGATCAAAATCGGTGCTTTTGGGGAGGGCTGTGGTGAACCACAGGTTGACTCACTTATCAGATATGCCTCTGTTGCGCAAAGCTCGGATAATGAAGGTCGAATTGCATGAGCACAACGATAACTTTTTCTCTAGCCAAGCTGCCTCTTATCTCCCAGCGCTTGACGAGGTTAGAGCTTAGTAATGTGCCATTATTATGTGGTTTTGTTGATTCTTTGAGCTTCCCAGCATGGAGGCCCTATGGATGAAGTTCTGCTATATAGACGGTGAGAAGATATCGTCTCAGTCACTTAAAGAGCTGACCATGATTGACTGTATATTTTTTCGCCAATTTCGGATTTCTGCTCCAAGTTTGGTGAGGTTGGAAATAACTGATTGTGTGGGTAAAGCTCCTGTGCTGGAAATAATGCCATCTCTAGTAAAGGCATTTATCAGGTTCCGAGACTCTAGAGATATTTGTGGTAAAGAAGAATTTGGGGGTAGTTGTACTAATGCTAGCTGTGATAATTGTGGTGCTAATGGTGTTGACAGTGGAGATTGTGTGCTTCTGAAGGGTATTTCAATGGCAAAAAGCTTGGAGTTGGTAGCTGAACCTGGTGCGGTATGTTTTTGCCTACTTTGTGCTTAATTCTGTTGTTGTGTATGATCGACTGTTTGTGTTGTGCTATCTGTATCGTTGTTTTATTTGTTTAGTATATGTATTCTGTAAATTAGCACAATGTGGCTTATGTGTGTGGCTACCGATAAGATATCTTTAATGTCATGCTACATCAAGGTGGTTTATCTGTGATTACTAGTATAATGTCTTGTGTTGCAATAGATCCCAACTAAAAGTCTGAAAAATAAAATACTACAAATGAATAACTATGCTCAAATATAAAACTTACATGCATTTGTGTATGAGACCAGTTGGCTACCTATGTATACTCATCTGCAAAAAAATTACAACTGAGAAATCTCTAAATATTTAGTATTTACAACAAGATTTTCAAGTGGGGGTGGGTGTAGAGCATACCGTCACCCCGACTCCCTCTTCTAAGTTCTGAAAGCTGTGCACTAACACTATCTGTAAGGAGCATACGCTGTGCAATCATGCTAAGGTCCAATAATCAAACTAAAATTTTCTGAAAAATATCCCGGTGTACTCCGGCAATAGTCAAATACTCCGTATCATCGGTTATTCAGAGGAGAGGAAAGCACTAACAAAAAAAAATTGACTAGTCAACAGGCTGCAGTCCCAACAGGATCTCTGCCACGTGTCTATCCGACTGGCTTAACTCCAACCGACAGCAGCAGAGCAGCTGCACTCCGGCGAATTCGGGTTAATCTGCGTGGACGCCGGCGTCAGTCATTGAGCCTGATACGCTTCGTCAGGCCAGGGAAGCAGAGGCGGTGCAGCCTCTGCGCGGGTTCGTCGTCTTCCAGGCTCGGAGGGCGCTCGTAGTAGAGCCCAACTCCGGCGGCATTGTCGCCGCCGCGTCGCTCCTGGAACTGCACGCTCGGCGCGCGCTTGACCTGCGACAGGTGCTCGAGCACCTTCCCCTTGGTGACCTCCGTGCTGCTCGACCTCTTTCTCGCCGCCGTCGCTGTCGACGTCTTGTAATGGAGCTTGTTCCCCTGGTTCTTGTACATGAGCTCGTAGCCGTGGCTGGGTATCTCTATGTCGTCGGGGAGCTTCCTCTCCTTGCCGACGGCGACCGCCGTCTCGTAGCACCACGCGGAGGCGACGTGGTTGATGGTGTAGCCGCCGCCGCCGACGAGGAGCAGCGGCAGGTTGAACCCGCGGAGGAAGCTGACGCACTCCGCGTGGCCCCGCACCGACAGCTCCATGCCGCCGAGGCGGTCGCCGGAGAGCGAGTCGGCGCCGCACTGCAGCACGATGGCCTCCGGCTGGAACACCTCCATGGCCTTGCCCACGATCGGCTTGAACAGCGTGTGGTACACGTCGTCGCGGACGCCGGCGTCCAGGGGCACGTTCACGCTGTAGTGCTCGCCGGCGCCGTCGCCGATTTCGTTGATGGCGCCGGAGCCCGGGAAGAAGTCCTTGTGGGGCGTGATTTTGCCGTACCGGTGGAACGACAGCGTCATGACCCGGTTGGAGTCCAAGAAGGCGTTCTGCACGCCGTCGCCGTGGTGCGCGTCGATGTCGACGTAGATGACTCGCCTGAAGGTGCCGAGGAGCTCGTTGATGGCGAGCACGATGTCGTTGACGTAGCAGAAGCCGGTGGCCTTGCAGGCGGACGCGTGGTGCATGCCGCCGGACCAGTTGATGGCGATGTCGGAGGCGCCGTCGACAAGCGCGCGCGCCGCGGCGAACGACCCGCCGGCGTAGCCGCGGCAGTACTTCCAGAGGCGGTCGAAGGCGGGGCAATCGTCGTCGCCGCCGATGCCGTGGTCATCCTCCGCCTTCTGCCGAAGCGCGGCGTCGTTGAAGTAGCTCTCCGGGGTGAGGTCGCGGAGGAGGTCGACGTACTCCGGCGAGTGGAAGCGGCGGATCTCCGCCTCCGTGGCGGGTCTCGTGCGGAGGCGGCGCATGTCGCCGAGCATGCCGTAGACGCCGACGAGGCTGTGCGCCATGGCGACGCGGGCGGGCACCATGACATGGTCGTCGCTGAATTTGATGTGGGCGATGCCGGGGTCGTAGTAGTAGCACACCCGCCGCTTCTTGTCATCGGCGCACGACGGCGACGGCAGCGAGTTCCCGCCGGTGGCCATCGCTCCAAGTTCCTTCTTGGAAGATCGAGATCGAACAGAATGCAGCAATGGTGCAGAAATCTCACATGGATATACAAAAGGGACACATGAGTCTCTGTCCGAGTCGGCAACGAAAACCGTATCGTAAACAAACAAACTAGCTAGTCGAGATAAGTTTTAACAACCAGTATGATAACCAATTGAGAAGTACCGTGTGCTAGTTTTCTGTAACCAATTCGATCAAAGCTGTATTTCTATGAGCTTCAGCAAGCAACAGTGTTAGTATTAATTCTTGCAGACCCAAAGCACACACTTTCAGAATTCAGATAAGGACTTCAGCATGGACGTCGTCAGCTCGATCAATCATCTGCTAGATCTCTGAACTTCTCAGACTGAATCCTACACAAGCACGAAGAGCATATTAGTTCAGATAACCTTTGGCATATATAAAAAAACTTTGAATTGCATGATAAGGGACTTTGCAGTTGATAAAAGTATATACTATAGAAATTATTACATGCTCCCGATTACTAAGGCTCTGTTCTTTTGGTTGAGTTGGGAACCCATCCCTCCGGTACGGAAAACGAAGCAGTCCATTAGCACGTGATTAATTAATTATTTGCTAATTTTTTTTTCAAAAATGGATCAATATAATTTTTTTAAGCAACTTTCGTATATAAACTTTTTGCAAAAAACACACCGTTTAGTAGTTTGAAAAGCGTGCGCGCGGAAAATGAGATGGGGGAGTTGGGAACTCCAGGAAACGAACAGAGCCTAAATGAGCTGTGTTTTCTCCTAACAGAATCATTGAAGAGTATGATGTTGAAAGTATAGGTATAATGAATGCCAAAGTACGGGCCAGTTCAGGAGTGATGTACTCAAGTCGCCAATGATTCATTTATTTGGTCATGCACACCAGTTAATGGAATATATATGTTCCTCATAATTGGACGCAATCTAGTTGCCATTGTTTTAATGAGTGCATCCAATAGGTGCGAAATGTGCAAGACAAACTAGACAATAAGATTTGGGTATCATATTTTGATTGGTTTCTAGCAAGAATGAAACGATTAGAAGAAGATATTTGTTCCGGTCCAACAAAAAGTACCTCGAGGTACCGGTATCTCACAATGCCCATCATGCCCAACTAGATCCAACGATCGGAAACGATTTGGTACCGTGAGATACCGGTACCTCGAGATACTTTTTGATGGACCGGAACAAATCTCTTAGAAGAAAACATGAATATTTGAGACAGTCTTTTAGTAATCAAACTAGACTGCATGATTCATTTTAAAGTTTTCGATCCACTCAAGGAGAAATTACTTTAATCCATTCATCGTATAAACATGAATATTTGAGAAGTCTGTTAGTAATCAAACTATTCATCGATCAGCCCTAAAGTTACAGTTCGTATCAAACTAGCCTCCCGTAGGGTCCCTCGCTAGTAAGTACTAGCCGTGAGACGTTTGGAGGCTAGGTTGAAGGGAGGAGGGACTAGAACCTTCATTGCTTAACTAAATAAAATAGAATACTATCACTTTTAGTGGGATGATTAAACTCCTGAGAATTAAAATCTAACTTAAAGAAATAAATTTACCAAGACAAGCATTCAAACTAACAAAACCAATCGTATCACTAATAAGAAAACCTTCCAAGGCCAGTCTTTGTTTACTTATTGATAAGATTGCTGGCTTGCTGTTTATTTGCCTGAGAGGAAAGCATCTCTCATGAATCGGGCTGGTCAGCTGTTTATGGTAAAGGTGGTTCTTACAGCTGCACGCCCACACCTGTATATCAAATGATTGATATGGATCTCCCAAAAAAGGGTTCTCAAAGCAATTGATAAATTACAAAGTTAGTTTTCTTTGGAAGGGCCAGAGCAGGTAAGTGGAAGCAATTGCCTAGTTACTTGGCCAGAGTAGCTCGCCTATCCAATATGGTGGTCTAGGTATTCATTATGTAATAGTTCTTGAATGATCCCTAAGGATGAGATGACTTTGGCTCCAAAAGACCGATCTGTCAAGACCTTGGGATGGTTTACAGTTTGAAGTACACCTCAATGTCAGGGCAATGTTTTTAATTACCACTGTTACTCTTGTCGGGGATTGCAGCAACCAATGTTTTGGACTGATCGCTGGTTATATGGCTATTCTATTGCTGAATTAAGCCCCTCTTTTATTTGCTCTTATCCTATCACAAGGTGTGGAGACTGGAGAGTATTCAATAAAATCAGCCTACAAGGACATTTTTGTCTAATCAATTCTTTTTGCCCCTTGGAAGAAAATTTAGAAATGAGTGAAATACATGGCCGGTCCCTAAACTTGTGTGGTGGTGTCACTTAGGTCCGTGAATTTGAAAATTACACGTTTAGGTCCGTGAACTTGGTTTAATGTATCATCCAGGTCCAATCGTCCTTTGACTGCGTTTGACCACCAACGTGGCATGTCACGTAGGCAACACTTTTGCTCTCAGCCCCCTCCACATCATAACACGTCACATATATCTTCTTGTAACTATATAGTGACACCAGAATCCCAAAAAAAAAAAAATCCTCAAATCATTCTTCTCCTTGCATGTATAGAAAATGCGATCCCGATTAGCAATTGCCATTGCTCTGCATTCCAAAATAACCTTATCCTTACACAACGGGCACTTGATCAACACCACCTTCTTCCAGCGACTTCAAGACGAGGACGAGCTTGGAGAATCCATGGGGATGCCTAGCATGCAAGCCGTATTACGCTGCCTCCCGCTACTAATCCGACCGCATTGCCCCACCGCTAACCCTGCTGCACTGCGCTGCCTCCTGCCGCTAATCTCACCGCGAGGCCGCCACAGCCGCTACCTCTCAGCCTCCTTCCCCTAACCTCACCGTCAAAACCCTAGCCGATTTAGGGATATTTTGAGGGATTTGGGTTGAAATGCACTGGACAGGGCAAGTTATGTGTGAAGGTGTATGTGGAGGGGGCTGAGCACAAAAGTGTTGCCTACGTGGCATGCCACGTTGGTGGTCAAAGGACAATTGGACCGGGGGTGGTACATTAAACCAAGTTCACAGACCTAAACGTGCAATTTTCAAGTTCACGGATCTAAGTGACACCACACCACAAGTTTAAGGACCGGCCATGTATTTCACTCTTTAGAAATTATGTACACCACTTCACTGCAAATTCTTTGTTTGATTAGCAATCCTTAGTTGATGTCGGACGGTGGACAGGATGCCCAAATAAGACCTTCCTCACCCGGCTGCTTGTCCCCTTTGTGACCAAGCGGATGAAACCATTCAACATCTCTTGATTTCTTGGGTTTTTGCTCATCATGTCTGGTTTGATTCTTTTCTGAAGAGAGGTCACTACGGTACCAGTGGGTTCCCTACCTGGTGGCGACATTCATTGAAGTTGGTTGACAAGCAACAAACGAAGGGCCTCTAACTGATCAGGAAGAACCGCAATGGGTGTGTTTCTGATGGAGAGTCCCCTAGTGTCAGTACTATTATTAGGGCTATATCAGAGGAGGCTGCCCTGTGGAGCACAGCCGGAGCTAAGGAGCTTAGGCTGTTGGCTTGCGTTAGGAGATCAGGTTTCTTCTTGGTCATGGTTTTAGATCGGTTGTGGCATGTCTTATGTAATATTTGTAAGCTTGAACTGGTTATGTACACCTATATATTAGAGGGGGGAAAAAGAAAAGAAACTGACACTCACATCATCAGTAACCACTGTGCCCCGCATGACACCCTTCCAGGATCTTAGGCTCATAAACCCATAACATTCAGAATTTTAATGTGAATAAGCTTTAATTACTCCTGCACAAATCTATGTATAAGATTAAGAACTACTACAACTGTAATGCTTGACTCTCCACTTCTGAACTGTTGCTGACCTCTGCTGCTGAACTATTGCTGAACCGTAATGCTTGCTTCATATTTATAATGTAAATGTAATGCTGAACGATTGTTGCAATAAAATTAATGCATAGAACATTCTACATTTTTCTTCGTATATATGGGCCATTTGGCCTTTTCATATTCAACCAACATTTCTAGATATAAGAAGATATACTAACGAGAGAATTAGGAAGATTCACAATATTTAAGTTGCAAGGATGGATTTTCAGTATCTCAAACCTGGATAGTGATTTTGTCAGGAGAAACGCCACAGGCATTCAAGATCTTGAAAACTTTGTGAACCCATTCTTCATTCCTTAAACATCTTACTTTGACTCTTTCAAGGTTCTGAAACTGGACCAATTGTCCAATTGAACTGCTACTTTCTTCAATTTCCACCATATCTTCATGGCCCTAGAGCAGACAAAATATATCTTGGCTCAATCAATCATGGATGATAACCGAGGTAAGTAATCACTATGAAATTAGAATGCATATACCTTATAAAGTTGAAGAGTGAGCTTCTCCAGAATTGATGTTTGTTGGAGAAAGCAACCAAGAGCGCAGAAATTATGCCCAACGACCCATCCATCAAGAAGCAAAGTCTTTAACTTGCTGAATGTGGGGCACCATGTCAAGTCTTGCTTCAAAATACAATGTACAAAGTAAGATGGAACATATCATTTTAACATACAACACGACATGAAACTGTACATTGGAATGGATAGACCTTTTAAGTAAATTCAGGACGTAACAAAACAGGCAATAAGGATCTCTCGAGTCTCGACAGACATAGACATATTCTAGTCTTAAAAATACTGATTGAAGTCTTGCAAAAATTACCAGAGATCTAAACTATCTAGTGTTCCACCTGATACCAGAAGCATAAAAACCATAAAAATGCAATTATTCACCCACCCACCCACACAAACCAACTTGCAGGGATGTCCTCAAATAGGTACAAGGTAAGGCAGGACAGAAATCCATGATAACATACAACAAATTATGTTTTGAGTATAAAGCTAATGAATATGAACACACACGTACCATCCCAGCTTCAGCTACTAATTCCAAATTTGCAGCATTTGACAGACCTCTGAAAAACTTATACTTGACACTGCCATCACCGTCAGGATCACCATCACAACAAACACATGTACCAGGATCATATCTGCATTTCCGACAACCCCAAGACAAAGTCCCAAACTTCACAGATGCTGTTACTAGCAATGGCATGCTTTCAAGCAAAGGAATCGAGCCGTAATTATCACCCAATCGTAGTGAAATGAGACCTGGGACAGAAATACGTGTGCTCATCTCGAAGTTACATTTGGTGACACAGAGATGCTTTAGTGACTGGGACACCATCTTGTCAGTGGAAATTTTGCATGATTCCGCCGGGCGGAGCGGCCGAGCGGAGCAGCGTCGCCGCTGCCATCGGCCCTTGCGCCCTCTTCCTTTTCTCTTCTCCTCTCCCTCCCCTTGAGCCCAACGGCTCAAGGGGGCCTTGACCCGCGCCCTGATCGGGGGCGCCCAGCCCAATGGCTGGTGGGCCCCCGTCACACTGTGCCATATAAAGAGGGGTGGAGGACGGGACGGTACAACGACACAAGGAACGAGGTTCGTCGCCGCCGCCACTCCACCCCATAAACCCTAACCGATCGAGGGGGCGCAGCCAGTGACGGGAAGTCCACCGCCGCGCCACGCCTCGTCGTCGACACCGTCGCTGCTGCAACCGCATCACCGCCATCGGAACCGAGCACATCGTCGCCGCCGTCCACGTCAAGCCCGCGACGACAACGACGATGGCCGGCCGGACTTCCTCTTCCTCAACAACGACTGGTCACAACCCTAAATCCTCTCACTCCCTCTTTGTTCATTCATCTATTGTTGTTCATCCATTGCAAATAGAACCACCCGACTAGATCTAAACCTAGGTGATCCAATAGACAACCCTATCAATGGTATCAGAGCCAGGTTAGCGTTTAGTTTGGTTCGGGGATAGACATCCACAGAGAAGAAAGAAATCCAAAGAGAAAAGCAAACGATCCAACGGATCAAAAAGATCGAAACCCTAACCCTAATCTTACCTCGTCGCCGGCCGTCGATGACGCCGGCCACGGAGGGGGGGAGGGGCAAAGAGGCACCGCCGAGGAGCCACTCGACGGCCGCGCGCGCACCCGCGGGTGCACGCGCGCGCCGGCGAGGGGGCCCGCGGCGGCGCCGCCATCTCCGTTTTTCGGCCGCCGCTCTCTCTCACACGGTGGGGGCTAGAGACGGTGGAGGGAGCGGAGAAGAGAAAAGGAAGAGGGTGCAAGGGCCGATGGCAGCGGCGACGCTGCTCCGCTCGGCCGCTCCACCCGGCGGCGCGCTAGAGAAAAAGTGGGCGCGCGGCAGCGCGAGGTCGCCGGCCATGGCGCGGCGGTGCAAGGGTCGCCGGCGTAGATGACGCCACTCGGCGCGGCCGCACCCGCCCGCAAGAGAGAAGAGGCTAGGGTTTCGGCCGGCCGGCGGCTGGGGTCGGGTTTTTGTCCCTCCGATCTTAGCGCCCGGCCGTCCGATCGAAACCCTAGCGATCGGACGGCCGACGGCGGCCGGGCCGAAAGCGGCCCAAGTGGGGAGCGCGCGGCGGCGGCTTTCCCGGCCCAGGCCCAGGTTGCGGCCTTGGGGGAGGGGAGGGGGCGCTCGCCCGCGCGCAAGGTGGCCATGGACCGACCGGCAAAGGCCGGAAAAGTTCAATTTAGGTCCCTCGGGGCCGAAAGAAAAAGAAAAGAAGAGTTTAATAATAGGTCCTCTCAGAAGCTTTTTCAATTATGTATAATTATTGTGATTATTTCTAAGCAATTTGAACCAACGTGAAAATTGTTTAGAGAATAGATAAATGTGAGAAATGCTTCTGAACATGTATTTTGTATATTTTCATGCAAATTACAATAGAACTTTGAATTGTTTTTGCATGTTTTACCTCTGTTTAAATTTGAACCAACGGGAGAATTTTACAGAGAGTAAATAACAGAGTTTTGTTATTGTTTATACGAATTGTATATAGATCTTCCGCTGCAAATAGATGAAATTGATGAAAATTAGTGTTTCTAAAATTAAATTTCGAACCAACGGGAGATTTTAATTTTAGGAACATTAATTATGTGCTATGATGTTGTAATTTTTCTGACCAACGTTGATAATTGCAATGTTATAGTTATGGCTTTATGTGTTATGTCTATTTTCTGCCCAACGGTGATGTAGACTTAATACATAATAATTTTAATGTTAATTTTGTTCTCACAATACATGATTATCTCAGGTGGCTACTCCTTGATGGGTTACATTAAAGATATTCCGACCCTGAAAGGAGATAACTACGAAGAATGGAAAAGAGAACTCGACCTTGCCTTTATCTTGGGAGAGGTGGACTGGGTGTTGACTACCCCATGTCCTATAGAACCTGCTGAAATTTTCAGAGGTGAAAAAGAGTCAGATGCTGAATGGCAAAAGAGAGAGAGGGACAATGCTTCCCTCATCATGTCGTATGACATTGAGCATGCGAAATGGTCTTCAGCCAACAAGAATTGTTTGGCTGCGGTAAAGAACACAATTGAGCCAACCATATTGGGCTCAATCCCAGAGTATGACACTGTCTCTAAATACCTCGAAAGTATAAAGAGCCAGTTTACTGGTTCTTCAAAGTTTTATGCGACACAGCTGATAAAGCAGCTTGTTACAGAGAGGTACCATGGAGGTGGTGTAAAAGACCACATTCTTAGGATGAGCAACATGGCTTCCAAATTGAAGCAAAAAGATTTGGGCATCTCAGATGACTTTCTGGTCCATCTGGTTTTGTCCTCATTGCCAAAGAACTTTGACAACCTTGTTGTCAACTACAAAATAAGTACAGAGAATTGGAATATTGAAGAGCTCATCTCTAATTGTGTGCAAGAGGAGGAAAGACACAAAGAGACCAATGGTGACTCCATTAACCTTGTCAAAGATAACAAGGAAAAGAGCCACAGGTCACCCTCCTCAAAAGAAAAACAGCCTCAGCATCTGCCTCAGAAACAACAGTTTACAGTTGAGACAAGATCAGTGTCTACACTGCAAGAAGACAAGACATTCCAAGAAAGATCATCCTGACTTCCTGACAGTGATCATGGCAAAGAAAGGTGAGAACATTATTACATTTGTAAAGAATCTCATTATGATTGGTTATTCTAGATCCACATGGTGGATTTATTCTGGAGCAACTATTCATGTGTGTAATTGTTTAAAGGGATTCCGTTCAATGAGGACTACGCAAAGAAGTGAAAGATCCATTAGAGTTGCTAATGGAGTTGAAGCAAAAGTTGAAGCTGTTGGAGATTTTCACCTAGAACTCGCGAATGGCTTCACACTTTTACTTCCAGATGTTTTTATGTCCATTCTTTGCAAAGAAACTTGATAATAAGTGTATCCAAATTGGATTCTGATAGATATGAAATGGCAAATGTGAACTATGGTATAATAATCAATGTATTGGTCTTGTGTTGCAAGATCAGCTTTATTTGTTATCTCTTTCTGAGAATGTGAATGTTGTGTCCTCGTTGACAAAAGAAAAGAAAAGCGAACTTCTGATGTCTCATCGAAATTATGGCACTGTTGTTTATGCCATATTTCGAGGGGGAGAATTGAGAGACTGGTTAAGAATGTAGTTCTTCCTCCATTGGAGTTCTCAGTTTTAGAACGATGCATACAATGTATAGAATGCATCGGTGCCCAAAACACCGTATGAGCTATGAATCCTCCGTGTGTGGGGAAGTCCTGCAAAGGATAAAGTATTTAACCCAAAACAGTAAGCTGCCATTTTATTGGCTATTCTGAAAGATCAAAGGGTCATCGTTTCTACTGTCTAAACAGTTATACAAAGTTTGTAGAAACGAGACACGCCATCTTCTTGGAAGACGAAATGATTAGGGGGAGCTCAGCAATTCGAGAAATTGATCTTGAGGAGAGGCGGGTGTCTATACCCGCTCCGTCGACTCAGGAACCTTTCTTCTCTCTACCTGCTAATGTTGTGCCAGCAATGCATGCCGTTGCGGTACCAACACCTGTTGTTATCTCTCCTGTGGCAACAATGAATGAAAGTGAGGAACCTGTTCTACAGGATTCAACAGAAATTATTGCCACATCAGAGGAGGAGCTGCAACAGCCTCAAACAGATAATGTGCCAGAATAGGAGGCCCCTAGAAGGCCTGAAAGAGTCGCATATGGAGGATGATCCCATCTCATATGAAGAGGCCATGAGAAGCCATGAAAGATGAAATGAAATCAATGAAATTAAATGATGTCTGGGATTTAGAAGAAATTCCTAAAGGAGCCAAAACAGTAGGCTGTAAATGGGTCTACAAAACCAAATATGACTCCAGAGGGAATATAGAAAAGTTTAAAGTGCGACTTGTGGCAAAAGTTTTCACGCAAAGAGAAGGCATTGATTACAATGAGACTTTTCTCCAGTCTCTTGTAAAGATTCCTTTATGATTATAATGGCACTAGTGGCACATTATGATTTGGAATTACATCAGATGGATGTAAAAACGGAATTTCTAAATGGTGATTTGAAGAAAAAAAGTATACATGGCACAACCGAAAGGTTTCGTCATGAAATGAAACGAAAATATGGGATGCCGTATAAAGAGATCCATTTATGGGTTAAAGCAAAGCTTCGAGACAATGCTACTTGAAGTTTGATGGAACAATAAAGAAATTTGGGTTTTCAAGAGAATGTAGAGGACAACTGTATTGATTCAAAGTTAAGAATGGGAGACTCATTTTCCTAATTCTGTATGTAGATGACGTTCTACTGGCTAGTAGTGATGTCAATCTACTGCAGGAAATAAAGAAATTCTTGTCCTCAAACTTTGACATGAGAGACCTCCGTGAGGCTTCATATGTTTTGGGCATAGAGATTCACCGAAATAGAACAAAGTATGCATTGGGATTTTCTCAAAAGGCATATATATAGAAAAGGTGTTGAAGAAATTCAATATGTACATATGCAGTGCTACACCTGCTCCTATAGTCAAAGGCGAAAAGTATGGGGCATCACAATGTCCTAGAAATCAGTATGAGCTCAATGAAATGAAAATAAAGCCATATGCGTCAACTGTAGGAAGCCTACAGTACGCTCAAGTGTGCACACGACCTGACTTGGCATTTGTTACCGGGTTATTTGGCAGATTGCAAAGTAATCCAGGCCTAGAGCACTGGAATTAGTAAAGATTATTTGCAAAGAACAAAAGCCTCATGCTGTCTTACAGAAAATCAGAATCGCTCCACATAGTGGGGTATTCGAATTCTGACTTTGCAAAAGATAATACAAAGTTAACATCGGGGGATACATGTTTACCCTGGCAGTAGGAGCTATTTCATGGAAAAGCTCAAAACAGACTACCACTGCAGGGTCTACCATGTATGCCGAGTTTATAGCATGCCATGAGGCTACGGGGCAGGTGAACTGGCTAATGAAGTTCATACCCGGTTTTAAAGGTGGTTGATAGTATTGAGAAACCACTAAAGTTATACTGCGATAAAGAACCCACAGTAATGTACTCTCACAACAATTAGTCAAGTGGTGCTGCCAAACACATTGACATAAAGTACTATGTTGTGAAAGACAAAGTCCGGGATCAAACAATCAGTCTCGAGCACATAAGAACAGAAAGGATGCTCGCGGATCCGCTCATGAAAGGCCTACCTCCCAACATGTTCAAGGAACATGTAGCATGCATGGGTTTTAAGGGAAGCCTTATGAATCCTGGACTATAGGGCCCAAAAGTTAAAGTATCTGTTTCTGAATAGAGATGTGTATAGTGGCTGTCGAATCCATCGGTAATTAACCGTGACGATGAAACATGCTCTATATGTAAATCTGTGATGGAATAGAAAAAGCTAAAGGAAATAGTGAGATCAAGGGGGAGAATATTAGATGGATCTCCCTCCCCTTGAGCCCAACGGCTCAAGGGGGCCTTGACCCGCGCCCTGATCGGGGGCGCCCAGCCCAATGGCTGGTGGGCCCCCGTCACACTGTGCCATATAAAGAGGGGTGGAGGACGGGACGGTACAACGACACAAGGAACGAGGTTCGTCGCCGCCGCCACTCCACCCCATAAACCCTAACCGATCGAGGGGGCGCAGCCAGTGACGGGAAGTCCACCGCCGCGCCACGCCTCGTCGTCGACACCGTCGCTGCTGCAACCGCATCACCGCCATCGGAACCGAGCACATCGTCGCCGCCGTCCACGTCAAGCCCGCGACGACAACGACGATGGCCGGCCGGACTTCCTCTTCCTCAACAACGACTGGTCACAACCCTAAATCCTCTCACTCCCTCTTTGTTCATTCATCTATTGTTGTTCATCCATTGCAAATAGAACCACCCGACTAGATCTAAACCTAGGTGATCCAATAGACAACCCTATCACAAGGTCCTCCAATGCAGGTAAGCTTGACAGATCGTCAATGAAGTTAGTCTCAGTCCTATTACGTTTGGTGATGCAAAGACGCTTTAGTGACTGGGAAAAAATATTGTAGGGGGTGGAAATCGTACAGCAATTCATCTGAAGGTCCTCCAGTACAGGACAGTTTGAGAAATCAAGAGCATGGTTGTCCAGCTTTACAGACCGAAGCTGTAAGGTGGTCAAGTGTTTAGAGATGAGAGGCATGCTCAATTCCAGCGGGGCTAAATGTTCAGATTGAACGAGGACCCTGAGCACCCGAGCCTTGCACATGAGCGCATGCCTGATCCATAGTTCAGCATACTTGACCTCGTAGATACAAGGTCTGGGCATCATGGTAGGCCAGTATGTGTAGGTCTGGAACTCGAGCTCATCAAGAGGCACCGGGTCGCGCAAGAGAAGAAGATTGTTGACAAACTTGTTGAACCTCTCCACACCCACCCATCTGTGTCTGATGCGCAGCACGGGGGCGGACCTCCAAAGGTTGCGCCAGCGGCGGGAGAGCAGACACGTCCACACGGCCTCGTGCGCTGGTAGGAAGGAGAGAACATTGTGGAGGATCTCGTCCGGGAGGGTGCTAAGCCAGTCTTCGCCGCTGTTCTCCTCGGCCGTGAGTCCCTCGCGTCTCCTGCCGCCGTCGCGCCTCGTAGCCATTCCGTCGAACAGGTGGCGAGCGCCCTTGCTGCGCAAGAGCAGAGAAAGGTGAGACGTCCAAAAAAGCCATCACGGAACAAAGAGAACAACCGAGAAGACACACTCGCCTCACCTCAGTCGCCGGAAGACTCGCTCTCCGGTCTCCGCTGCCGCCGCCGCCGCCTGGTAGGGCTCGTCGCGGCGTCGCCCGCCGCCGCTGATCGATGGAGCGCCGAGCGGATGGTTGTGCTGTGTGCTGTGTGCAGTGTAAGCTTCACCTCTCAAGACTTAACTGTCAATATAAGCCCAAGGACAGAATACGGCCCATGTGTGTCAGCCTCGAGTGGAGGCCCAAGACCTGGATATGGCCCACGTTAGTAGGCCTAGAGTGGACGCCCAGTTTATCTCGGGCCCAAGACAGTCCGACCATGAACAGCATAAGCAAGACAGGCCTAGACCAGTAGAAACCCAAGATTGATTTCAGCCCGTACGTTCTAGTAAATTGAAGGTCTATATTGTATTCCTCAACATGTTCCATAGTCCGATTTGCTGTTGGCTCCCTATACCGTAAATCCGTAATACAAGCAACAACACCTTCCTCCTCCACATCAGTACAAGTTCAATTTGACTCCAATCATCTTGGGAATATATTTGTGGATGGTTTTCATTCGACGCGGCACCTAGTGCTGCTTACGTGCTACTACAATCAGGAAGGAAAATATAAAACAAGTTACACGCATAGGCCGAAATGACAAGAGCACATGGGCCTGAATTACCAGGAGGCGCTGTTTCACCGATTAAATCAAAAATGTTTTACTAAATCTTTACTATTATAAAAATTGAATATGTTTTTTCTGGTTCTTTGATATGCCATCTGTGTATGAGTCTGACGGAGCGTGGGGCTCCTCACCGGGAGACCGCGCAGGCCCCCCTTTGCCGGTTCGGCCGGGGACTCAGGGAGAGATTCTAAGCTCTCTGTATGTGGAAGGCTCGCGAGACAGGAAACACACAAGACACGGGCGATGTATACAGGTTCGGGCCGCTGAGAAGCGTAATACCCTACTCCTGTGTTTTGGGAGATCTGTGTATGAAGGAGCTACAAAGTATCAGCCAGCCTCTCCCTTGTTCTGGGTTTCTAATCTGGAAAAATCCAGTCCCCCCTCTCAGTGGGCAAGGTCCTCCTTTTATATCTTAAGGGGATACCACATGCACCATTTCTCTCTTTTTTGTGGGGACTTACCCCACCTTTTCATAAACAGACGGAGACTTGTATGGTTGCCGTCCGAATGACCTTCTAATGGGACGGCCCATACCTACCTCCACTTCCGCCGGAAGCAGGCGCGACGTGGAATCGTGGCTGTCTGCTGACGACATGACCGGTATTAGACCAGTCACGTCGGTCATTCTTGTCCACCACGTGTCAGCTTAGCAATCTACATGCTCGCCCTTCTTCACACAACATCTTGCCTGTAATGGTTTAGGATGAAGCCTGGCATATATCTGACCAGGACTAACGTGCCATCTCTGGGAGGTAACACGCTAGCTCCAGCTGGGGACGAGCGCCTAGAAGCCCTCGTCCTGACGGGATGGGGCGAGGCGTGCGTCAGATCGCCTGTCGCCACCTAACCCGCGATCTGACCGGTCTGTGACTGGTCACAGACCGGATAAACGAGTGCACTGCACTGCGTTACATTCGGCGTGACACGCTCAGCCAAACCGCAATAAATGTGGTTAGGTGAGCCCCACTGTGCTCACCTAACCCATACACGGAGCAAAAACCCACGAGGGGTCGGGGCGCCTCGGCCCTCGGGGCCGAGGGGGGTGCGGCCCGACCCCCTCGGGGGGACTAAGAGGAGGGCGAACGCATCACCCTCGGGCCCGACGTCCCTCGGGGGTACCAGGCCACGTGTGCGATTGTGTCTGCCTCAAACCTCTAGTCATGATACTCCTGATCCCATGTCACCGACAGTAGCCCCCGGCGTTATGCCAGGGCGATCGCCCTCTTTAAGGGAAACAGTCGGGCATGACGCCACTCCTAAGACCTGGTGACAGGTGGGACCGGTCTCCACAATTGGGCAGAAACCCAACGGTCACAAACCACGCACATCGGCAATGGTAACTCGGCTGTCAACAATGAGCGGTCTCTTCAAGACTGCCACATTACTTGAGTAGCACACGAATCTGGACATGGCGATTCGTTTCGTCTGAAGATATGGTAACGTCGCTTCGGTCGGCGAGCGTAATTAACGCGCGCACGATATGATCTATCTCGACTGCCACAACCGCATATCCACCTCATGCGCCGCAAGCGGGCGAATGGGATTAGTGGAAGCGTGGGCGCGAGAAACGAGGGGGCGAAATAGTGGGCGCGAGAAGCGAGGAGCCGGGCACAGCGTTGGCAAGAGTATAAAGGCACTGAGGAAGGGATCTGTTTCCTTCCTTTCGCCATTATTCCCCTTGTCTTCGCCGCTTGCGCCCTAACTCCTTCTTTCCTGTGCCCTACCTTCACCACACGCGCTCGCTCTTAATCTTCTTCTTCCTCCGGCGCCATGGCACGGGGTTCCGCTCTGCTCGATGGTAGCGTGCTGCCGCCTTCCCGGATCGTGAGCGAGAGGCAGGCTGGGCTGTCGCGCCGCTTCATGCCGGAATCTGCCACCGGCCGGGAGATAGTCACGCTGGGCGAGGGACGCCCGGCGCCAGACTACCCGGGGCGGTCCGTCTTCTTTCTCCCCTTTGCAATGGCAGGGCTGGTTCCACCATTTTCTTCTTTCTTCATGGATGTTCTGGAGTTCTACGATCTCCAGATGGCGCACCTCACCCCCAACGCGGTGATGACATTGGCCATTTTCGCGCATCTGTGCGAGATGTTCATTGGGGTGCGCCCATCTCTTCGGCTGTTCCGGTGGTTCTTCACCGTGCAGTCGGTGTCGCCGCCATCGGTAGTCGGTGGCTGCTACTTCCAGCCACGGGGGCCGGTGCTGAACCGCTACATCCCCTGCGCCCTCCGCAAGAAGTGGGACGACTGGAAGAGCGACTGGTTCTACACTCCCCTCGCCGACGAAGCGCGCCTCCGACTTCCGAGCCAGCCCCCGGCGCAGGCCTCCAGCTGGCGGGCGCCGGTAGATCTGGGGGATGGCTATGACGCCGTCCTCGATCGCCTGGCGGGCCTGCGATCCCAGGGGCTCACAGGGGCCATGGTGTACGGCGACTACCTCCGTCGTCGGATTGCGCCGCTCCAGCGACGCGCTCGGGGCGCCTGGGAGTACACCGGGTCCGAAGACTTCACGAGGACCCACCAGGGAGTGAGATGGGACTGGGCTCCTGAGGACTTCAAGATATTGGTCCAACGGGTGCTGAATCTCAACTCCGTAGAGGCGGCCCTCATTCCCCAAGGAATCCTCCCCCTCTGCAGCGATCCAGACCGCGCCTCCATCCTGACCATTATGATGGCGGTCGGGGCCTCAGAGGAGCGAGCTCCAAAGGGCCACGACGGCGCAGGCGGGAGCCGCAGGGGGGAACAATCTACCCCGAGAGGGGGTCGTGCTTCTGGGCCCGCGACAGGGGCCCGGGGAGCAGCCGCCCTGCCGACGCCCGGGGGAAGAGGAAGCAGGGAGGAACACCTCCCCCATCTCCTCCCCGAGGGGGCGGGGCGGCGCGTGCTAGTAACAGGCGCCCGGAGGGGGCCGCGCCAACATCGCAGCCCGAGGGGGAGCACAAGAAGAAGCGGCCCCGTAAGATGGGGGAGACAGAACCATCTCGGGGAAACCTCATTTCCCCTCCAAAGTGGTCGTTTAACCGACCCCCTCGCAGGTTCGTCTCTCACCCATCGTGGCTGTATTCATTCTCTCAACGCGAGTTTTCACTCACCCATCTTGTTTGTCTTCTGGTTTTTTCTTTCGTTTCAGCGAGATCCCGTCGCGTCTCTCCCGCCATTCCAAGTCCGGCCAGTCTGAGGCCGAGGATCCGGCGGCCGCAGAGGCCCTCAGGCGGGAATCTGACCGGCGAGAGGCCGCGGATCGCCTACGGGAAGCCGAGGAGGCCGCCCAGGAGGCCGCCCGGGCTCGCCAGGCCGAGGAAACCGCTTGGGAGGAGGCCGCCTGGGCCCGCCAGGCCGGGGAAGCCGCTCGGGAGGAGGCCGGATTTCGCCAGGACGAGGCGATGGCGACTTCTGAGGCAGCTCGCGACGAGGCCGCGGGCGCGTCGCTTGGGCCCACTCCCTCAGGCGACACTCAGGCGACAACTTCCGGGGCAGCTGGCGACGAGGCCGCGGGCGCGTCGCTTGGGCCTACTCCCTCGGGCGACGCTCAGGACCAACCGGGTCCGGGGGACATCCCCGAGTCCGGCACTTCCATCGGCGGCCCGAGCCGCGTGGCATCCTCTCCAAGGCGGCTCTTCCCCACGCCTTCTATCGCCCTACTGAACGCAGAGCCCCTTCTGCAGGCCTTGGCCGCCGCAAACACCACGGTGTTGGATGGGTTAAGTGCCCAGGTGGAGGTCCTGCAGGCAGAGCGGGCGGAGCTCGACGCCGCGTGGGCGCGTGTCGAAGAGGGGCGACGCTCGGTGGAGGCCATGGTGGAGGTGGGCCGTAAGGCTCACCGCCGGCACGTCTCGGAGCTTGAAACTCGTAAGAAGGTGCTGGCGGAGATCGCCAAGGAAGTGGAGGAGGAGCGGGGGGCTGCCCTCATTGCCACCACCGTGATGAACGAGGCGCAGGACACCCTCCGCCTTCAATACGGGAGCTGGGAGGCGGAGCTAGGGAAGAAGCTCGACGCCGCCCAGGGGGTGCTTGACGCTGCCGCTGCCCGAGAACAGCGGGCGGCGGAGACCGAAGCGGCGTCCCGGCGGCGCGAAGAGGCCCTTGAGGCGCGCGCCATGGCGCTGGAAGAGCGCGCCTGCGTCGTGGAGAGGGATCTGGCGGACCGCGAGGCCGCCGTCACCATCCGGGAAGCAACGCTGGCGGCGCACGAGGCTGCCTGCGCCGAAGAAGAGTTCACGCTCCGCCTCCGCGAGGACGCGCTCACCGAACGGGAGCGAGCTCTTGAGGGGGCCGAGGCCGCGGCGCAACAGCTGGCGGTCAACCTGTCCCTCCGCGAGGCAGCGCAGGAGGAGCAGGCGCGCCGCAATCTGGAAGGTGCCCGCGCCGAGAGGGCCGTACTGAACCAACGGGCCGCTGAGCTCGAGGCGCGGGCGAAGGAGCTGGACGCGAGGGCGCGCAGCGGCGGGGCGGCCACGGGCGAAAGCGACTTAGCCGCCCGCC